CGCTTTGCGCTCCCCTTCCAAACTCTTGCTAAAGATACTTAACCCCCCCATAAAACTCTTTCCCCCCCCTCCCCTCCCCAATATAGAGGCATGAAAGGTTGTCGCAGTTGGCTTTTATCGTAATACTTCCGTGGGTGGCTGGGGTGTGTGGGTGTGTGTGTGTGTGTGTGTGTGTGTTAGGTGTTCATAACCATTACTGTTGTCCAGGGAAAGAAATCCTGCAGATCGGGGGTTTCTTCAGAAATAACACGACGTTTCTTACCGACTTCATAGGGAGCGATTCCCCAGTGAGGACTAGAAACCCTGTCTCCGAGGAAGTCTGCTGGAAGTCTGTTTTGCGTGGCACTTGGTCTTGGGTGGGCGCGCAGGAAGGAGGGTAGCTTCCGTTGTTAATCCAATTCGTGTCAAGGTCTTAAATTGGGGTAGAGGACAAAAACTGCAGTTGGGAACCTGTTGCCCAGATGTTGCACTAACGCTAACAGCCAGCATGGCTGATGGTGAAGGATGCTGGGAGTTGTAGTTCAGTAACAGGGCAGGCCCCAGGTTCCTCTCCCTAGACGAAAATAATTTCGAAAGAGAAAGCCTTTATTTTGGGGTGGAATGTCATCAGAGATACAAAGATATGCTGAAGTTAAGTGCTAACCTAGGAGAGGCATTCTCTGTTGGGAGTTTAAGGCGGATTAGGATGTCCTGAAATAAAGTTAATGAGAGATCATGCTCCTTTTTATCTCACAACTTCCAAAATAGTGTCTGTCAGGGGAGTTAAGAGTTGGGGGTTGTGTTCTGGAGGAATGTGGGAGGGTAAAAAGAGTGGAGATAGGTGGGACTGTGCCTCCTGTCCTACCCCCATCCTGCCCCCTCAGTCCCAGACCTCCCTGTACTGAACAAACCTGCATGTGCAGAGTATAGCTCCCTTTCAGATTCCCCTGCTCAGCCAAGAGAAGTCTGGAACTGAGAGAGTGAGTCCCTGCCTTTCTAGTGTCTTTCTAGTTATGCATTCTCCTGAACATTGAGAAGAAGATACGTTTATAGCTAACATATATAGAGATTTCTCATCTATGTTCATTCGTATATGAAACTTCCATAACATTAAATTGCCACAAAAATTACAGTCACCAGGAGTTGAGCTTCACTTGAGAGTATGTTGTCTTTATGTTTATTATTACCAGCATGTATGTTCTAGCTTAAAAAGTAGCAGAACCTGATTTATAAAGTCCTCAAGCACCTCATCTGTCCTCTCTTGGAATCCTGGCTTCTTTCATTTCTTTACCATCAAAACAGATTTTATATTGAAATATTGCTCAATTGTTATTTTGCCAGATGCTCTGAAAGATTTTTAGGCTTGGTGTTCTTTCTAGTTATGTGCTAACAGTTGATGTGTTATTTTATTATTATTTTATCATCTATGTTGCACATTCAAGGCTGCTAACAAATAAAACAAAATAAAAAGCCAAAGTCGTAAAATTCACACTAAATGCCAACCATTTATCGATTGGCAAAAAATATTTTATAAATGCTGAGAAGGGGGTGCCAGACACAACTCACAAATGAAAGCACTTCATATTTTCAGAGCAGTGCAAGATAAAGCCTTCTCCTATGTGACAGAAAGATGGGCCTTTGACTCTGGATGTATTTTCAAAAGAGGTCTCTTCTATAGACCTTAAGTATGGCCTTAGCCCATGTAGGGCCTTAAAGGTTAGTACCAATTGTTTTAAATGATGCCTGAGAAACATTTAATTGCCTGTACAGTTCTTTCAGTATTGGTATATGATCTCTTGCATGTTCCAGCCTAGCTGCTGCATTTTTTAACCAGTTATAACTTTGGGACATTTTCCCAGAATAGGTCTTCACAGAGCACACTGTAATAGTCAAGACAAAATGTGACCAAAACATGAATAATGATTTCCATATCTGACCAGTTCACGTCAGGCATAATAATCATACATGATTCTTGTCAAAACTACCCCTGTAAATTGAATGATAGCTGAAGATCAACAGCATACCCAGAATGATAGCTTACTTCTTTCAGGAGTACAGATCTGTTCTTATTTTAGAAAACTGGATATTTGGATCCAGTTGGATATGTGGATTTGAGAATTCTTTTGGCACACAGAGAGCATTGACTTGGTTTTTAAGATGGGAAAAAAGTTTTTAGTCCTGCTTCAGACATAATTGAATTCCTCTGTCCATCTCCAGTAAAGGAATGATAATCACTGATGTATACGACATCCTGGTATTTTGCAAAGAACTTGTGCTTCAAGAACAGGCTCTCCTTCACACCTCTGTATCAGCCACTTCTGAGATGTCCTTTAGGGTTAACAGTACACTGTCAAAGAATATAGAAAATATATGGTTTGTAATTTATTATGTACCATCAAGTTGATGTTGACTTTTAGCAACCACATAGATAGGCTTTCTCCAGGATAATCTATTCCAAACCTGACTCTTCAGGTCTGCCAACAGTGCACACATTACCACTGTAATTGAATCCATCCACCGTGCTGCTAGTATCCTTATTGTCTCCTCTTCTACCTTTCTCAGCATTATAGACTTCTCAAGAGAGCTACGTCTTTGTATAAAGTGTCCTAAATAAGGTGATTTAAGCCTAGTCATTTATTGATTTATTTTTCAAATTTATATATGCCGCTCATCTCATACAAGTGACTATAGGCGGCGTATTTGTGTCTCAAGTGAGAACTCTGGATTGATTTGTTCTGTGATCCATTTATTTGTTTGGATTGGGGGGGGGGGGCAAGGGCTTCCTTTTTTTTTTGGGAATTTTTCCAAACCCAAAAGTCCAAAACCTTTTTTTTCCCCTTTTTTAAAATCTCAACTTTCATTCCCTTAAAAG